ACTCTGAGATCATGACCTGAGCTGAAACCAAGAGTCAGACACCTAACTGACTGCACCACCCAGGCACCCCAGGATGAATGCTTTTAGGAAGGACAACTAGGTAAGGAACCACAGAGGAAAGAAAGAAGGGATTATAACAGTTCTCTCCCTAAGTGTGGTTAAGACCTGGTATTAAGTGTGCTTTACACTAGGGACCTCAAAGCATTGGGAGAGCCAGGACCTCTGTAAAAGGGGCCTGAGAAAATAGATGTTTAGGTCTGGCTCTGGTCCAGACTCTGAAGGTGTTGTGAACTTGACAAGTGGGTGTCTTATATAAACCGGCCATTCACTAGGGAGGAAAGCAGAGAGATTATTAGGAAAAGGGCATGGACACCTCCACAAAATGTGCCTCTGACTGGAGTAATCACCTGCCGGGTGTCCCAGAAACCCGTGAGCAAACCTAATATGGGTACAGATCTAACTGAGGACACACACACACACACACACACACACACACAAATATATAGGAAAGAAATGCGTAAGGTGAGAGTCAGAGAAGAGGGTGAAGGATAGAAGAAGAGGGAATTAATGATCATAAAGGCTGTGATTTATGTTTATTTATTTTTTAAAAAGATTTTATTTATTTATTTGTCAGAGAGAGAGAGCACACACAAGCAGGGGAGCGGCAGGCAGAGGGAGAAGCAGGCTCCCCGCTGAGCAAGAAGCCCGATGTGGGACTCCATCCCAGGACCCTGGGATCATGACCTGAGCCGAAGGCAGATGATCAACGGACCAAGCCACCCAGGAGCCCCTGTGATTTATGTTTAAAGAAAGGAATGTGTATTGGCGTCACACTGCCTGGGTTTGTGTACTGGCTTTACCACTTTCTAGCCACGGGGCAAGTTATAAGCACTCTCTTGTGCCTTAGTTTCCTAGCCTCCCTACAGTACAGGGATAACAACAGCATAAACTTCATAGAGTTAATGAGGATTAAGAGAGTTAAAATATGTAAAGTACTCAGAACATTGCCTGTGATCCCTTCTTCCTTTCAGCTACTTGCATTTTTTGTCCCCACCTTCGCTAAAGGATTGACAACAACAACAAAAAAGATGAAATTAGTGCTAATTTGTTTTACTTCTTGTCAATCACATGTGGCAAAAGGTTTGATGAATTTCAATTTTAATAAGACTTAAGGATTGCTCTAAGTCTTCACTTGACTACCTCATATTGTGTTCACATTATCAGTGTCCACCATTTCCATAAATAATTTAGACTGGGTTGCCTAACATTTTAGGAAAAAAAATATTTGAAGTAGAAAACTAACAGATGGGTAGAGCTATTTTGAATAAACACAAGGGGAAAAAGAATTCAAAAGCTGCTATACTTATGGCACAAATAAGAAATTCATATTAGAGAGATATCAAAATACAACACAAGACTATTATGCTTATGAATGGATTTAAAACACAATTAAAACCCTTAAATAAATACTATATTAAATATAAAAATAAAATACAGAAAAATAAGCAGTTTTGCTAAAGCATGCAACAATACAAAACAAACAAACAAAAAACCAAAGGATAAAAAGTTGAAATGACTTTTAATTACATATAGTCAGAACATTTTCAACACATACAAAGAAAAAGAGAAATTGAAGTCAAGCATTTGTTATGTCAAAGAATAAGGAATATGTCAAAGAATAAGGAAGAAAACAGAACTGAAAGATTTAATACTATTCATTTTTCCTAAAATGTAATCTAGAATTAGGGGAAAAAAGTACTTATTTTTAAAGAAGGAAACTATAAAACCTAAACTTTAAATATTCAGTTGACTTTTACTAAATAAAGTAACCTTGATAAAAATTCAACTTAAATGGAAAATTAGAGAGTAAATGGTTCAAGAAAGAGGATCCATACCAATGTACTCGTGATATTCAGTAAGTGGAAACGCAACAGAGCTGTGTAAGGACCATGAAAAGCACCCTGGGCTCCCATTGTTTCAACGGTAGAAGGCAAAGTAGTTACCCTGGACAAGTTTTCATGAGTAGCCTGACTTTTCTTGGCTACGATACTTGCAAACATAATTATGATACCGATTTAAGAATACTCAAAGGAAAGGACTGCCTAATAGAATGTATTTGCAAAGCACAGATCTTGCTATGCTAATACAATAGCTTTTGTGAGATAACAGAGAATGGATAAAAGGAGCTGGGCAGATAACATTTATCTACATTTTAACAATGCTTTCAACCCTGTGCTGCATATCAGCATGCTGAGAAATTAAGAGATGAACTGTATAAATGATGTGATAGAAATGAATTACTAGTGGCTTATAGATTGGAAATACAGGATTATTACTCTTTCAGATGCAGAAATATATACATATACACATACAGATGTATCTCAGGGTTCAGTTTGTAGCTAGACTAATTATATGAAATAAAATAAATGCAGCTTATACGTTAATCATTTTCAGTTAATTTGGTAGCACTCAAGTATCTAGACAACACGTAAGAAAAAAATTTTGGAAGCAAACAACAACAAAGAATGAAATCAGTGTCATATAGGTTCTTTTACTAGCAGAATTCTTCTTCAACATTTGTGGTAATGATATTCCTATGACTTTTGAATGCACATAAAATTCAGTGAGCTTAGGTAAAGACTTGATAAATCCATTAGCAAATATTGATAGTATTTTGAAATTCCTTGTTTTCTTTTGAATTGCTGTAATTCTTTAGCGAAATAGCCTAATGGATGAGGTCTTATCTTAGAAAAGAGACATAACAAAGTTCAGTTACACTTTCAGTGAGGTTATTTAAAATCCAGCTGCAAACTTAAGTAATTTAAGCATGGATTTAAAAGAGCGAAGGGTAAACTGGTCATTCATTCATTCATTCCATAATTAAGAAACTGAGTATTTTTTATGTGCTAAGCATCCTGGATACTAAATCCTTCACAGTCCTAGAGTTTATACTCTTGTCAGGATGACAGACTTATAAAGATGCTAATTAAAACAGCTCTAATTAGAGGGATGTGCTTTTCAAACACTTCCCAGGGACTGAAATGAAAAAGGTTACTGTATATCACAGACTAAGTGCAAGGTCAGTTTGACTTCCTGAATGTTTAAAGGAAAGAAATACTTTCTTTTTCTTTTTTTTTTTTTTAGGAAAGAAATACTTTCAAAAGAATTGCAATATAATGTTAAAGCACCTGTAGTTAAGAAATTCTTAGTATCTTTTAAAATGTTTAGAAGTGATTTAATGAAAAAAAAAGAGACTATTATAAATATCAATTACTGCTATATAAATGAGGAGTTCCAAAGTATTTAAAAAGTTTGTCTTGCTAGGGCAAGCATTCATATTATATATTTTTCATAATAATAAATCACCTAGCAATTTCAATATCTGTGGTTACCACATCAGTGCCATCCTTTTTCAACTGCTCATGACTCCAATTAAGATTTGAATTAATGGGATTAGACTAATAACTATTACAACATATATTCACCCTGTTGGTTGGCAATAAGTACCACACTTGTAATTTACAGTACCACAGTGTTTTATAAGGGCTATTATGTTATTAATTAGTTACATTGATCAGAATACCACATAACATAGCAGTACTAAAATATTATAATTTGCTTAGGCTACTTTGCATCTAGTACTATATCTATTTTTTCTATGGGTGACCATAAACATCATTGAAATCAGATAGCTTGTTTCTACTAACAATGCCAAGATGTTCACTTCAGAAGGCCAAAAGAAGAAGAATTCTACTGAGAATTCTTGCCACGGGAGTTCACTTGTTTTCTTACTATGCCATAAAATTAGGTGATCTAGGACAAAAGCATAAATTCAGGACTTAGGGGGGTCAAATAGGGTAAGAGCACTATCCATTTTATGTATAAATTAGTCCACATTTAATTTGAATCTACTTATTTGTAGGGTTCTGCCACCTAAATCTAGTTTTTGTTGTTGGGGGTGATTTTTCCTTGCTTTGGGGCTGTGGCTCTAACCCAATACTGCTTTTAAGCAAACTATCACACTCAAAGGTTTTAGGTTTAACAGGATCTCAGCCTCCACTGTAAGTTGGGAGTGCATTATTTTTTTTTTCTGGTTGTCACAGTAAAAGATGTATTAAGATAAAAATTACAATTTTCAGATTTAGACAATAGCACTCAAAGCCAGTATTTTTGGAACACATTATCAGGCTTCAATTTCTTAAAAGCTCACAGAGGAAATAGTTACTCTGCTAATTAGCCAGTAAAGTGACATGATTGTCAGTCCAAACGGATCATCAACTTAACTCACTGAGAAAGATTTGCCTGGATCTTGCTTTAAGCACTGTATTTACAACAGTATATCTAAAGCCTCTGTGAAGGAAAAATGTAAAATATTCACTCACATAAATCATAGCAAACTAAAGGGGAAATAAAAATTTGTTAGGGGAGATAAAAATGTATTAGACTTCTTTGTATAATATTTTTGGGTGGTGGCTTCAATGTTATTAACAGAAAATAATCCATAAAAATTCTGACATGAATTTCTTAATTTGAATTATGATAATTTCTGACGTTTCATATTTTACTGTTCCCTTTCAACAGCTTTTTAAAGTATTGTTGATACGGGGACTTCATTACTGCTAAAATATTTCAAAATGTACACATAAATTCAATCCATTTCTATTACTGATTTTGATAATTTGTTAACTTTATAGTTAAAAGTCAGAAGGAAACAAACCAGCACCAGCTCTACTTCATAATTTTACATCTTCCCAGTATCCCCAAAATATATACTAGGATGCTTATAAACTAATCTATGCTAGCAAACATTAATTAGTATCCAAGACATTGAACATAGTGTGATATTATGTCAGAGTTTAGGTTCATGAAGTAGCATGAGGTATCCCCCGAGGCATTTGATTAGAATTTATGGTTTACCAGGGAAATGAAGACAATCATGCCAAACAGTGATTCCCCAACAGAATGACCGCTTTGAAACAAAAATGAACACAGGCCTTTACCTTCCTCCTTTCTTCTCTTTGCTTCTTCTTCATTTCTTTCTTTTGCTTTCAACGCTTCATCAGCTTTTGCTGAAACAAAAACAATGAAATTTCTGTACTTATTTTATGTCTATATCATAAAACATTGAAAATATTGGGGAAAGGGAAAAGAAGTTCATTGAATATTTTTTGTGACATAGAAGAAAAAACCAAAATGATTGAAAATGTGTAATATAACTTTTACATTTATTCAGAATATTTAAAATATTTATTTAGAATCTCTAAAGCTTAGTTCAAGATAATCTCTGTATGAAAAAGAAGATGAATTTAAGCAACATAAAATTTAAATGATGGTATATGAATTGGGAATAACTGTTGGTCATTAAAAGTCATCTGATTTTGTCAGTGCAATGCATCTATTTTAAACTTTGGATGAAAGTTCTTAAGCTACAATTCACATTTTAAATATAAGAAGCTTGCAATATCTTTGGAACAGTATCAAATTAGGTAGCATATTATTTTTTTTTCATTGCATATCATAGTAGCAGTTCTTTATTCATGTTATGACAGCATTTGGTAAAAAGAATCTTTTTCCCTCTAGAAACCTCTTCCCTTATTACTTAATTATCTACTAGTTGCTCAACTGCAGGGGTTTTCAAACACTTTACTACAGATGTTAAAGAAGATTAAAAATATACAGCACAGTAACAAGGGACTATCAATATACTCTGTAAATTAATTAAATTTCTGTTCTAGCACATCATTTATTCCAAAGCATTAATGTCTCAAAGGAGCGATTCTCCTTTATTGCCAGCTCACTGCCTGATGAGTGAACTAAGTGAAAATAAGTCTCTAATAGCATTATAGTTGATGAAATATTAAGTTAAAAAAGTATTGCCTCGTCAAAAGAAAAAGAATCAAACTGTGCCAGCATTAAACTTTGGATGAGCCTTTATTATAATGATAACAGTAATGTAAACTGTGATTTAAAAAATAAACATGCTCTTCAGTTTTTTTGCTGCATATATTTTTCCTATGCAAAGTCAACATATTCTTTAGAAGTATGAAACCTGGCTTAAAAGGGGAATTAAAAAAATACACACCACACATATAACTATTTTTCTTCAAAGTTTTATTTTTCTTCACCATCAATATTGACACTTTCTTAAAATATAAAACTTATATAATAGTACCGTGAAGTGCTATATCCAATTACTAGACATCTGTTTCCATTTACAAGCTTTAATACATACTTAGACTGCATTTAAAGTCATGAAATATTAAAACTTGTATGCCACTCTGTATCACTGCAAGAATCTATTAAATTAGATAATAAAAACAAACCACCAGTAACTCTAAAGACTTTTACTTCATTTACACTTTATTCTCCCTGGTAGAAGGACAAGGATAATAGAAATTCCATTTAAATTCAATTTTGGTTATATGTGTAATTGTAGATATACCCCTTGAGTCATGTAAAATGCTCAGCTTATGTTTCTTTCAAATTATCCCGCTCTGATTCACATTCTACTCCTTACAACCATCTTCAATATGTATTAGCCGAGCTCATTAGACTGAAATTTAATAATGCAAACATCAGGTGGATTTCAAGAACCTCCATTAACAACGTAAGATGGATTGCTTATATATAGCTCTTGGGCCAACTGGGCACAATTTAAATTCAATAAACTACCCTGCCTAAATCTGATTTATCTATTTCACTATGCCAGTTTGTCCTTTCTTACTGATTTGTTGCTATACATGGACAATTCATTGGAATATTGTTTTATATGTTTCTTTTTAAACTGCAAATGGCTCTTGTGCTGTGGTTAAATATTTTATGTAATGGAGCTTCATACTGTCAATCAAGATTTCCGTGTGTGTGCGTCGTGTGTGTGTATAAATAAAAAACACCTCTTCGAATTATGTCAAAATAGCATAGATAATAATTTAAAAAGCACACATTTGAAAATTTTATTAATAATCAACATGCTCTCTACAAAGAATCTGAATGAATTCACTCAAAGAAAATTCATTTATTCAAATTGAGTCATTAGGATAAATTCCTCATTGATTATTAAGGGAATTTGGAAGAAACTTTTTTCTTTCCAACCACTTTCTGATATTATTTAAATGTGAATAGGGAAGCATGTATAATCATTTATACATGATTTGGTTTATCCTAAATTTTTTTATATTCTCTAAAAAATGGCAATCCCACTTTACAGATGGGGATCCTGAATCTCATTAGATGTACCACAAAATCTGATATCAAAGAACACTACTGGTAAGTGGTAAGATGTATTCTTATGATTCATGATCATTCCCTTTGTACTTTATAGCAGGACCTACTATAAAGCACACCATTTACCAAAAATACATCTTCCACTAACCTTATATACTAACCTTATATACAACTTCCAATCCCTTGGCTCTTCCAAATTCCCCCAGACTTGACAGTCCTCTCCAGTCTCTGCTTTCCTTCCCTACGCAACCTGAACCCCAAGACAACCATTTCAATTCCACACATATTAACACTCTCATTGCCCTGATTCCTTTGTTGTTTTGTTTTGCTATCAACACATTTAACCATTTTTTTCCTATTTTTGCTTCAGAGCCTCCCTACAAAACAGTATCTAAATGTTATTGGCTCTACGAAAAACCAATGATTTAGAAGTTAACATGGATCCTTCCATGTTGCTCATCTTTCATCAACATCCAGAGTTGGTTTCCATTCTCATTTCTCAGAATTTACTAAGCTTTCTCCACAAGTGCCAATAACCTCACATCAGCTTCCTTGACTCCTATTTTTTCAGCCTCATTCCCATTTACCTCCAAACTTTTATGTTCATCAATCCTTACTTTTTCCTTGTATCAGAAAGCAAATCCATTTACTTGTGCTTTAGAACCTAAACCTTTCCATATCCTTTAGGATTTTTTTGTGTTTCTTAAGATTCAAACTCACTCTTTCTTTATTTTCAGAGTATAAATACATTCAAAGTCTCACAAATCCTTACAATATTTACTCTTCCAACTAAGTTACTGCTTTCTCTTGATCCTGTTAGATTTTTGTCCCCACAGCTTTTGCAAAATGGCCCCTAAAAATTCTATAATTGCCAAATCTACTGGTTATCTCAGTTTTATCTTTACACTCACCCCTTTTTTGAAAAACTGCTAACCTGGGGCACCTGGGTGGCTCAGTGGGTTAAGCGTCTGCCTCCAGCTCAGGTCATGATCCCAGGGTCCGGGGATTGAGTTCTCATCGGGTTCTCTGCTCAGCCGGGAGTCTGCTTCTTCCTCTGCCCTTCCTCTGCTCGTGCTCCCTCTCTCTCTCTCTCAAATAAATAAATAAAATCTAAAAAAACCCAAAAAGCTAACCAACCACATCTTTGTCAAAAATATTTGTCAACCTTTTTTGGCTGTGGTCTCTTTTGCCCACTTTTTTTTTTTTAAAGATTTTATTTATTTATTTGATAGAGGGAGACACAGCGAGAGAGGGAACACTAACAGAAGGAGTGGGAGAGGGAGAAGCAGGCTTCCTGCTGAGCGTGGAGCCCGATACGGGACTCGATCCCAGGACCCTGGGACCATGACCTGAGCCGAAGGCAGACGCTTCACGACTGAGCCACCCAGGCACCCCACTTTTTTTTTTTTTAAAGATTTTATTATTTGAGAGAGAGAATGAGATAGGGAGAGAGAGAGCATGAGAGGGGGGAGGGTCCGAGGGAGAAGCAGACTCATGGCTGAGCATGGAGCCCGATGCGGGACTCGATTCCAGGACTCCAGGATCATGACCTGAGCCGAAGGCAGTCGCTTAACCAACTGAGCCACCCAGGTGCCCTCTTTTACCCACTTTTTACTTCTTGGAGTTCTGTTCTTAGGCAGTCTATATAAGGTTTAAATGTAACCCATATGTCTATCACACGTAGCTCCATTTCTGGCCCCTCTCCTGGTCATCAGAACTCTTTTTTCCAATTACTTCCACACAGATACCTCCACATAGATATTTCCAAAATCATGTCCATGATTGAACTCATAACCTTTCCCTTAAACCAGATCTTCTTCCCTTGGTATTTCCTGTTTTCTCTCAGGTTGGAAATCTTTGTGACACTCTTCTCCAAATCTTATCCTTATGCAGGACATCTAATTGGCCAGGAGTTCCATCAGCTTCTACTCCACACATTAGCTCTACAGTTCATCCAATCCTTTCCATTTTCATTGCCAATAATCACGTTCGGGGCCTTATGTCTTTTCACTTTGAATAAGAAGGGAGTTCCTATTTGATCTCTGTACTTTAAATCCTATTCCCTCCAATGAATCCTTTATATTACCAACAGAGCAAGGAATGTATTCCTTGTTTTGTATCCCTAGCAACAAGCAGAGCATCTAGAACATAGAGATGTTCAATAATTGTTAAGTGAATGAATGTACCATCCTAAAACACATATATGATCATGTTACTCCCTGCTAAAACTACCTCTGAAGGCACCCTGTTGCATATATATACAAATCCCATCTCCTATCTCCTTATCATACCATCTAGAGCCTTTCACTGTCTGATCTCTATGTAACTTTCTGGCCGCCTCATCATTCACCACTCCCCTCCTTCATTGCCTCAGGGATGCATGGCCTTGCAGGGCCACACTGCCTTTTGTTTATATTGTCATGCTTTTGTTCTTGCTGGTGTGCCCACCTCACTTTCTTGCTGAGAAAATCTTATCAGAAAGTTTTAGAAATGTCACTCTCTCATCAATATCCCTTGTTTCCAAGTGGATCTGATTGCTCCCTCCTTTCTTCTTAGGCATTTTAATACCTTCCTTATGGAATGTACAATACCTTGTTCCTTCATTAGAGGAAAAAGCCAACTCCTTGAGAGGATGGCACATAGTAGGCGTGACAGAAATTCTTGGCGTTCTCTTCTTCTTAAGTCTTTAGCCAGCCTACATGTTCTAGTTTCTCCCTTGAAGTTCAGTGTGGCCATTCATTTACCTGAGTTCAAGCCAAGGAATGTGAGCATAAATAATGTGTATCATGTTTCCACACCCAGCCTATAAAAAGCTCCCAGGTAATCCTTCTCTCTTTCTTTATCC